TGTAGCTTCTGTGAGACATGTAAGGAAAAAATTTTTTCATTTTGGGGGAATCAAAAGGTTAGGAGCTTTTACATAGTTTTACTATTCTCTGTGAAGCTCAAAATTAATTTAAAGATAGTGCTAATTTCATTTTTTGTAAATCCTAAACCCAAAAAAGTGAATTAAATACAATTTTTATGATTAAATCATTTATATATAGAAATAAATGTCGAAATGAGGTTTTTAGATTACAAGATTACGTGGAGATATTAAAAATTAATTTCAATGAAATATAGTGCAACAAAAAAATAAAAAATGAATTTAACACAAAATGGAAAGACTGGCTTTCACTCATGTAGACCCTGAAACCAGACACCAGAGCCCTTTTTGAAATCTTGGACATAAATATCACAACTTTACTCCTATGAACATGCTCTTGTTTTTTTTACCATTTCTAACCCCCTTTTTTTCTCTTCCTTTTTTTTTTTTTCCCCCTATTCAATTGTCACTATTATATTTTTTTGTATTTGTTTATTATATGTATTAATGATGTATTGATATTGTAAACACAATGATGTGACAATTGATTTTAAAAAAAAAAAAAGGGGGGGGGGGAAAATTGGGTAAACTCGAATAAAGTGTTCTGAAGGAAATATTGTTTTCTATAAAAAACCCGGTTAAAAATGAATAAAATTTATATACCACAAATAAAGAGGCTATAATTTTTTGATATCTTAAGTATCGCTTACTATATAGACAGTACAAATATAAAAAAAACCCCTAACAAATACATGTCAAAACTCAAAAAAAAGCGACGTTGGGCCCTCCGCACGGGGCAGCGTCCATAAAAAAAGTTTTTAAAACGGTTGAAACGATGTAAGAGACAAAATATTTTTTAAAGCAACTCAAAGTTATGGAAATATGTATAGTGTATTGATTTAAAATTTTTAAAAATTTTACGATTTTTCTACGGTGTGTACAAATCTAAAGAAAAAAACAAGAATTCAAACAAACATGTAATTTACTGAAAATGGAGATTTTCTATTCATGACGTTGTTATAAATCTAGTGCAGCGTCGGACTTGGCTGTGCAGTTTGTGTATACAAACTGTTTATTTTTATGCCGCTCGTAAATTTTTGTGCATTGTTTTGAATTTTAAAAATTAAATAAATTATAATCTGTACTTAAAGATTATTGCTAAGCACTTGGAAGTGCGTTGCGCCTTATAAAGGAAATGTACTGTGTGTCCATGAACGTGTGTTAAGCTTAAATCCAAATGTTTGACGTTATAATGAAATTAGCTTAACGTCAGACTGGTTCGTGCGCACTATGTGCGATATTTAAAGACCCCTATTTTTACAAAAAATATTAAGTTTCATCAATAAAAATAAATCATTCTGACTTGGTTTATCATAAGAAATATTTTGATATACAATAGATGCATATAGAACCATTTATTTTTAACAAAAACGTCATTGCCCACGAACTTTTTGGACAACCCTCGTACATTTATGTTGCTTTTTAAAAATTTTGCACGAAAATACACTTTTTAAAAAATCTGGAAATTATTGAAACTTCGAATTTCGGGACGGCTTGTTAACATATCTTTGCTTTTTCACAAAGTAAAATTTATTGTTTAGACTAAAGATACGTAGAAATTTTGTTGTGTATATATAATAAATATTAAAAACTACAATCAAGAAAATTCACAATATAAATGTGAGAAGGCAAAACCAACTCACCAGTAGTATTGTCATTCCATGATCGGTATTTTGTACAGTTTAACAATGAAAATAACCTATGAAACGTTTACTTTATTTCTAAACATTACCATCGCTCTGTTATAATATTGTTAATACAACAGTTACTTGTATGTTATACCTTGGCAAATAAGTCCAGCATCTTTCACTAAACTATCCAACATCCCATCTATGGATAAATGACAATCTAATATATTAAGCTCGTTTCCTGAACATTTTAAGTCCTTCATCCAAACTCGATTATCCAAGCGTCCAAAATATTCTGATTGAACAGCCAAAGCTTTCCGTCTAGTATATAGAAAGTTTACATATTATAAAATATTATGAAGATGAACATAACATTTATAGATAGAAAAATAAAATTATGATATATAATTAAATTATTATCTATCTGAAAACGTCAGATCGAATTGAAAGTGCAGAAAGTTTTGTTCATCTGCAGAGAACACATAAGGTGAACAAATACTTATTTTTCCTATTGAGGACTTAAAATAGATCCATCGAGAACTGATACAATTTTTTACTACATTCGATCAAAACAAAAATCGAGAAATTCAAAATGAATAAAACTAGCTGCGTTTCTTAAATGCACGTTTATCTCAATCAATGTTCGACTCGGGCCTAAACAAAGGATGATGTGACATACGGTCCCAAGTAAATTGACAAAAAAAAAACAAATTTCCTAATTTTACTCTACTCTTTGCACATATTCACTGATATGTGTACCCTAATTGAATGCTACTTTTATCAAAAGCAGAAAAGTAATTTGGAAGGTATTACATGTATCTCTCCCATGAGTAGGGATACAGTGTTGTCATGCTATAATCAATTTCCATTGATTTTTTGCCCCGCCCAACTTTCTGGAGTTCTTAAAATATACGAGCGCAAGTGTATATTTTTCTCCTTTGGCTGGTCATTGTACATGTATATTTTTCTTAAAATCTATTTATATGTGAAAGGAGAAAAAATATCTTATTGCGCTCTATGATAAATAAAATGTAAAATCTAGCTGGCCTTTCCCATTATGAAAAAATCGACGAAGCTATTTTTCGGGCGTAAGAATAAATTCATATACTAATGGAGGCACTGTTCGATACTCTCTAGCTGACCAATCAGCTAAATGAGTTGGATTATAGTGAGTACCACAAAAATACTAAGGAAATTTTATGTTTGAAAATTTTCTTTTTATCTGCTTTCCGTCAACATTTTCTTTTGCATTTGAGTCAAAGACACGGATCTATTATACAGTTTCCCAGCTCACATAATTACAAACAATTAATTTATAAAAGAACATATTGGCATAAACCAAGCTGAATATAGCTGGCATAGGGCCTAAAAATCACATATAACGCAGTAATCACATCATTATAATTAAAATGTGTTGGAACTATTATGACTATGAAAACTCGTATTTATTCACTCATGTTAGAAAACCATCATAATCGTTGTAGATTAAATATAATTCGTCATATAAAAAAGCGCCAAGATAGCTGTTATGTCACATCATCCTTTAAATCACAAGAAAGAAGAAAAATAATTTCATCGATTTATTTAAGCTCTTTATCATAGAAACTGAAATAATAAGACAATCTTTGGTATTTTAACCTAATTAATGATTTTAAAATCCTCAAAGTACAATATTCATCTCTCTCTTCGGGCTCGGTGAATAATGTACCCCAAAGAAAGCTAATTTTTACATACACTGAATATTATTCGCTTAATTTATTTCTTATGAAGATCATTGGCATTAAGCAGTGCATGAACAACTCTCAGCAAGCCACATTTGTAGTTTTCTTGAACAATGGCTGTTCCATCAGTTTTAGATACAATGACATATTCATCTTAAAAACAATAGTTAACAAATTTTATTTTCCTTTCCGTATGATTTTTGATACAGATGTAAATATAAACAATAAAATGTTTTCTTTGTGTCTTAGACCTCTTGAATATTTCTTTTCATTATATTTTGCAGATACCAATCTTTAAAATGGTTGCAAATTATACATTTTAAAATTTGATGTACTTACGAATAAAAACCGAGCTGCCGACAGACCACAGCTGCCTCTTCTTCTCCCCAACTATCTGCATCTAAAGTTCCCCATTCATTACCCAGAAAAATACGTAAAGTTCCATACCAGCTTCCATTGTTTACTTCTAGCACATTTTCAATATCTATAAAAAAAAGCGTTATAGTTAGGCCATTCATTTTTTTTTGCAACGGATGGATAGATCCAGGGCGTATATTGTTTTGTCCTGTCTGTTTAACTGTTTGTCTGCCTGTCTGTTGTCAACTTTAACCTTCGCCAAAACTTTTGAACCATAAGAGATAGAGACTTCATATTTGGAATGCATACTCCACTAATAAAGTTCTTTCAAATGACATCAAGATCAATGACCTTGTGACTTTGACTGTGACCTACATGCTAAAATAGCTTTTTCCACTGCTTGTCATAACTTTTGAACCATAAGAGATAGGGACTTCAGATTTGGTATGCATACTCCACTAATAAAGTTCTTTGTAATGACATCATGGTCAATGACCTAGTGACCTTGACTGTGACCTATATGCTAAAAATAGCCTTTTTCACTTTTTGCCATAACTTTTGAACCATACTTTATATTTAATATGCATACTTCACTAATTAAGTTCTTTCAAACAACACCAAGGACAATGACCTTGTGACCTTGACTGTGATTTATATACTAAAAATAGCTTTTTCGAATTTTGTTGGCGCCAGGCGCATATTGTTTCACAAACACACCTTTTTTTATATATATATAAAATAAAGGCGTATATATGTGTGTGTGTTTGTATGCATGTAAACTGTGATAATGAGATATACATGTATTTATGTGTTAGGAAGTGTGTGAGAAAAAGAAAGAGAGAAACCTGCACAAATAACACCGGCTTCTCTCTTGAAAATTCTTTCTGCTAAGACTTCAACTTGACAGCTTAAAATCTGCATCTCTGAAGAACACGGATCCTTTATTTTTAACCATGTTAAGGTCGGTGATATTCCATAAAGATTGTTGATTACAGCCAAACCTTTTTTACTGGAAAAAAGTCACATTCATATATATATATATATATATATATATATATATATATATATATATATATATATATATATATATATATAAAGCACAAATTACAACAACTCTTAAACTAATATAACTGCCCTAAGTGAAGGAATATTAATATAGAAAGCACAGAGAAATTCTTTTACAAGGATACTCACTTCCGCCCCAGCCCGGGTTGAACTCTCACCTACGGAATCTGTCTCCTAGCAGTGCAGGAACAGCGCGTTAGACCGCTCGGCTATCTAGGCAAGTTAAAAAAACTTGCTTTCGATGCCGATGGAATTCTCACAACGCTGCCCTACACTACACGGTCATTGAGAATGGAAGTGAGATACAGTTATTTGGACATTAGTTTTTAGAGGATCGTTACCAATACATGTTGTGATGAAATTAATTTTATTTATAAAGCACAAATTACAACAACTCTTAAACTAATATAACTGCCCTAAGTGAAGGAATATTAATATAGAAAGCACAGAGAAATTCACTTTTACAAGGATACTCACTTCCGCCCCAGCCCGGGGTTGAACTCTCGACCTACGGAATCTGTCTCCTAGCAGTGCTTTCTATATTAATATTCCTTCACTTCAGGGCAGTTATATTAGTTTAAGAGTTGTTGTAATTTGTGTTTATAAATAAAATTAATTTCATCACAACATGTATTGGTAACGATCCTCTAAAAACTAATGTCCAAATAACTGTATCTCACTTCCATTCTCAATGACCGTGTAGTGTAGGGCAGCGTTGTGAGAATTCCATCGGCATCGAAAGCAAGGTTTTTTTAACTTGCCTAGATAGCCGAGCGGTCTAACGCGCTGTTCCTGCACTGCTAGGAGAAGATTCCGTAGGTCGAGAGTTCAACCCGGGCTGGGGGGAAGTGAGTATCCTTGTAAAAGTGAATTTCTCTGTGCTTTCTATATTAATATTCCTTCACTTAGGGCAGTTATATTAGTTTAAGAGTTGTTGTAATTTGTGCTTTATAAATAAAATTAATTTCATCACAACATGTATTGGTAACGATCCTCTAAAAACTAATGTCCAAATAACTGTATCTCACTTCCATTCTCAATGACCGTGTAGTGTAGGGCAGCGTTGTGAGAATTCCATCGGCATCGAAAGCAAGTTTTTTTAACTTGCCTAGATAGCCGAGCGGTCTAACGCGCTGTTCCTGCACTGCTAGGAGACAGATTCCGTAGGTCGAGAGTTCTCAACCCGGGCTGGGCGGAAGATGAGTATCCTTGTAAAAGTGAATTTCTCTGTGCTTTCTATATATATATATATATATATATGTAATCATTTTTTTTTCTTGGAATAGGGATATATATGTTGAGAAGTCCTTGGCATTACCCCTTTAATCCAATCTGTTTGCACACAATATTAGCTTTAGAATGTGTCCATGTGCTTGCGTCAATTCCTCCCCATTCACTATCAAGATATACCTCCACTCGTCCTGCTATGCTAGCATTGTGCAGGCGTACTCTAAAATCTGTGTCATCTATCAAAAATAAGGTATTAAATTTGTTAATAAAAATGCTATTTCAAAGCTACCGAAATTGAAGCTATGGTAAAATTTCATCAAGCTCATATCGCAAACGCTTTTTAATTTAATCTCTAAAAAATCATAACATAATTGGTGTCCTTTGCAACTGCTTTAAACTCACCAGTACAAACTACACCTGCAGATCCAGAGTTATATTTTCCTGATATCTGGTTTGCACAATCAATGAAACTGCTTTCTGTTCCGGAACAACTGACACGTACGAACCACTCCCATTCGCTGAATCCAAAGACGTCGTTAAGAACTGGTATCGCCCTAGAACTGAGTGTAAAAAATACCAACTTACTGTTTTCTTTGGAAGACGGTATATACATGTAGAGTTAAAGCTGTTTACAGTCTTTGGACCATGCACTTCCCCTTTATTCTTGTTGACCTGGACTCAAAGACTTTGGCAAGTCTCCGCATACGTCAACATATACTATATCTACTCATTATTTGCTACTGAACTGGACAGATATAAAAGAGGAAAACTAGAAACGCATACTATTTTATCAATATTTATAAACACACAATGAGATGATGTATTATTGGAACGCACAATTTAGTGTACAAAAATTTCAACTATCATAACAGACTCGGTTGATTAGCCTGAAAGTATATTAAATACTCTGAAGGTTTCTCGTCATACCGGTACTCGTTGCTTACATAATCCCAGACGTCTTTTGATCTTTTATTTAAAAAAAAATCCGCACATCTTTTTCCATCGGTCAATCCCTGATCATGCCATGTGTTCACTTTTTATAATTAGGTTGTCGCTCACAGTGTACTGCATACTATCCTCTTAGCAAAACCATTATCTCTAAAGCGTTTGTAAGACTCTCTAGGCCAAATCGTCAATGTACAAACTAGAAAATAATGGAAGTAAAAGCATTTTTCTCTATTCTACGTCACAAGTCACATGGTGTGAAGGACCCTTATGAGCTAATGTCGCTCTTTTATGCTGAATCCATTACTTTCTATAAAATTTGGTATGGTATCCCTCCTTTAACTCGCTTTTGAAAAAAAAATTAAAAATATAACGAATTTTTTCAATATCTTTATGATTAAAATTTCTTTTTCTTCATGCCAGCAGTGGATTGATTGTTAATTCCATTATACATGTACTTGTTTTATATCGTAGGACTTATGTCTGTAAAAGCCCTTTCAAAAATACAAAGCCAAGATCTACAGCAAATAATTTATCATTACGCTCGAATATGTGTATGTCAGTTTTTTATTTATGGTTGTTAAGAAATACAGCAGAATATTCTTGAAAAATCTATACTGTGTAACATATACTGCGTTTCCTTATTACCGGAAAATTTTAATTGACTTCTTTTTTATTTGCACCCTCTTAAAGCCGCTTGGTCCGATTCTAATCGCTATGAAATATATTTGTTTTTCTTCTTGAAAAATAATTGTCCATAAATTGTTTTACCTTTTGTCAAATTATATCCCCCAAAGTCTTTTTCTTTAAAAGATATCAAAATTCAAAAGTTAAAAAAATATTTTTTGTTAGGTCACACTAAAAATAATCGTATGTTGATATCGCGTGAAATCCCCTTCGAAAAACTAAATTTATCGCTTACATGTATATCTCATAAAGAACGAACCCCAATCTAATTAAAATTAGATGTTAGATCCGCTCGCATACTCGCTACACTAACATCTAACAACATCCCACAGAGGGTCACGTCAGAGGTCAAATTCTATCAACCAATCAAATTGTCGCTGGCAAATCATCAGATATTTGTTGAAGTTATGGAAGAGAGCAAGTCTAGAGTTGTTCCGAATTTGACCTCTGACGTGACCCTCTATGGGATGTTGTTAGATGTTAGTGTAGTGTAGCGAGTTTGCGAGCGGATCTAACATCTAATTTTAATTAGATTGAACGAACCCGAGCATTTTTTTTTCACAACAAAGTACTTATACCTGTACACGGACAATATTTTAGCCTTCTTTACTAAAACTCCTTTAAAAAAATATCTGATTTTCCTTTATTCTTTAAAAATGCATATTGATATAAAATTACTAAGGATTATATTCCATGACTTAGGACTAAGGTTCTACTTATTGAAAAAAAAATTCGGGTTTGAATTATCTTCATAATAAGATAAAACCAATAAGTTCATCTTTTTCAAAGGTGACTTCACAACAGATCTTAACTTCCTGTCAGGAACTACTGTTTGTCAATAATGTTTTTGATCTATGGTTTCCACGTAAGGATTGTTGTAATAAACTATTAAATCAATCTTATAATTTTTTTTATTTTGATATCTTATCTATGTAATGACGTACTTTTATTGTGTAAGATAATTGTGTCTGTTTCATAAGCGGCTTTAAAGTAATCAAAATAGCTGAAAATTATTATTCATAGTTTATGCAGCCATGCTATTAAAAATTTTAAATTCAATATATATACTAAAAAATAAAAATTTTTTTTATGCGCCCGAATGAAAGATCCGAGGCGTATATTTTTTTTGTCCTGTCTGTTTGTCTGCAAACTTGAACCTTACATAACTTTTGAAATGAAAAAGATTTCATATTTGGTATTCATACTCCACTAATTAAACTCTTTCAAATATACCAAGGTAATACCCGTGACCTTGACTGTGACCTTTATGCTTTTTTCTGCCAACTTGAACCTTCGCCATTCTTTTTTAACCATAAAGATGGACTTTTTTTATAAGCATAACTACATTAAGCTCTTTTAAAGACACCATGGTCAATGACCTTGTGACCTTGACTGTGACCTTACGCAAAAATTTGTTTTTTTCGGCAAAATTTAACCTTGCCATAACTTTTAAAGAAAATTATTGTATATGATTAAGTCCCCCTTAAATATTTCACTATATGGAGACGTCACCATTGCCGGGGAAGGGATGAAATTTAGGCCTATGCTCGGCACTTACGGCCTTGGCGGGGGGTTTTTCTGCCACACCTGCTGTGACCGGCCCCGGGTTTATACTTATCCAAAGGGCCGCCCCATTTAGTGCCTTTTCACAAGCAAGGGGGTACTGAGGGCCTTTCTTAAACCCCGGGTCCCCACGGGGGTTTATATTAATATTAATATTTGGCATGTATATCCACTAATTAAGTCCTTTCACATGATACCAAGGTCAACGACCCTGTGACCTTTAAATGTGTCCCGTGCTAAAAAAATTTTTTTTTGAAACCCTTCCCCTAACTTTTTAACCAAAAGGGTGAACCTTTTAATGCTCTTCACTAATGTTCTTTTAAATGACACCAAGATCAATGCATTTGTGACTTACTGTGACTTATATGCTAAAAATATGCTTTATCGAATCTTGTTTCACAAACACAACTTTTTTTAATGTTCTCAATAGTATTGAGCCATCAAGAAACTTCTAAAAACTCGTTATCTTTTTTTCCTTGTATCCTGCATTACAAAAAGTTGCTGAAATTTTTTTGGAAACTATTTGTAGTGTTCATAGACTGGTCCCTGACATCGGTTAACGGGCGCAACCCCCAAAAACCAAAACTGTCCTTGAAATTCCCTAGCGGCAGCGACTGGAATCAAAGGCAAGAACCGTGCTATAGTTTCATTATCTTTTATCCTTTTCAGTATACTAAAACGGAAAAAATTTTTAATCAAGATTCACCATAAAGAAAACACGATTTTCATCATCCTACAATTCTAAGTTTTATTCTTGATTCTTCTCAAAACAATATTTGTTTTTTAACTTCCAACATAAAGATCTTTAAAAATATACTCCATTTTATAAAGTGCATCTTATATATACATGTAAATCCTTACTAGGGTTTTGTAATTCCTTGCAAAACATAGAAGCCGTCTTTTCCGTCCAGGGTTTTTATCAATTCCACCCCATTTGTCATCCAAGAGAATTTCAACCCTACCTGAAGTATTTGAAACTGTTCGAAGTTGTATTTTATCTTTTTCTACAAAAAAGGATATTTTTACTTTGAAAAAATTATTATTTTGTCTATTTTTTAAAAAATTATTATTTATTAAATACATAACTTCATAAAAAACACTAAAAAAAGGTTTTTCTTTATTATTAAAAAAAAATTTCATAATATTTTAATTTACACTATTATCTTTATCATTTTTACAGTTATCAATTATCAATGCTGAATAACAAAGGTTAATAACTTTTCCCCAGAGGAATACAAATTAACAAAGCCCTGTCACAAAAGCACGAGTTATGTCCAAGACACAATGTAGTTACGATATCGACAATTACTTTTTTTTTTTTAAAATTTTCTATAATTTTCTCTATTCTTGTGTGTTTTAACAATACTTCCTGTATTTAACATGTGTTATTTAAAAATCATTAAAAAAAATTTCTTGTAGTATCGATTTCGTTGATATCGACCATGTCGCTTGATATGAACATGTTTGTAGCCCTTGATAAATACCGTCAATGTTACTTTGTGTTTGTTTTTTATTTAATCCCTTTACTTATACAAAGATTGTATCTGCAAACATTTTGTGAATGATCGATATCGAATATAAAATTTAAAAAAAAAAAATTCACCCTAAAAAAAACCTTTATTTTTAACATATCCCAAAACAATAACTTTGTGTTTCTTCTTGCAAATTTGTGTATATTTACTTTTATTAATAAGTTTACCCTACTGTAAAATGCGATTCATATCGATATAATATATTGTTAAAACATATTTTACAACTTTACCCCAAACCCAACATTTACTCTAAACATAATCCAAAACAATAACAACCCCAAACCCTTTCTTAATATAATTTATTTTCATATTCATGCTAATTATGATTCAATTTTAACATCACTTTGTTTTTGTAAAATTATGCTTTAGGCTACCTTATTCTAAAAAATAAATTGTACAAATAGGATCATATCGATACGATCCGTCATGATAGTGTTGATATCGACGACATCGACATAGCAAAAAGCTTAAATAAAAAGTATTTCCAATCAAAAGTACTGATACATAAATTGATACTATATCGACATAATATTGCGTTTGTGTATCACATAAATTTTTTAAGAGATGTATGGAGCACTGACCAAAGAATTGAAAATTCACATATAGTAAGCCCCCTCCCCCCCCCCCTTTACACCAGAGGTCTGTTCAAAGAGGGTTTTTTGGGGGTATAAAAAATTTGGCAAGCACTCGTGAACGTTGACTTCGTTCTGTTGAACGGTCTCTTAATCTCTGATAAATGAACCACAAGCATCAAGAACTTGAAGTAAAACTAAGAGATAATAATTAATTTAAAGAAAATTTGGTGGCATATTTTAAAAATTTTTTCTAAGAACCACTGTCTAGGAAAATAAATTTGGGAAACATCCTCAGGTAGTGTAGATTCAAG